GACGAAGCGGACGGTGAGCTACGCAGATGCGAGTAAATCGCATCTGAGAGTAGCGGTCACCACCGTCCCGCCGAGGGACCTCTCGGCTGAGCAGGCGGAACAGCTGAAGGAGACCATCGACGATGGGATCCTGCAGGCAGTTCTAACTCCGCAGTCTCCAGATGCGCAGGCTCCATCTTTCCGCGGGCGACCCTTCCTTTCGGACGGGGTGCTAGCGATGTGGTGTGAGGACGAGAACGCACTCAAGTGGCTTGAGCAAATGGTGAAAACCATCCAGTCACCCATACCGAACACCACATTAACGGTCATTAGGCTGTCGGATGTGAAGAAGAAACTTAGAGCTGGGCTTCTTCTCCACACCCGCATCACTGAGTCTGCCACACTGCAGAAACTCCTTTGTGCCCAGAACCCCTGGTACAAGGTCGAGTCCTGGCAGTGCTACGACATGACCGTTGATGACAAACCGGAGAGCAGTTCCAAGGAGAAGGTGGTCCACCTGATCCTTGGAATCCCCGAGGAACAAAAACAAACCATACTGGACAGGGAACGCCGTGTTGCATACATGTCTGGCAGCGGATACATCCGCTTTTTCGCGACAGACGAAGCAACAGTAGCTGACCCGACAGTAGCGACAGCAAGTGCTACTACAGAGCAGGAAGGCACTGCGATCCCGACACCTACCACCTCAGCTCCCCAACCGGGTCCGAGCGAGATGGAAGAGGAAGCAGGCCTGAGCTCTGAGGACAGCGTTAGCGACGAAGATAGCGTCCTTCGCAGTCCCTAGTAGCACCATCAATATCATACAGACCAATCTCCAGCACAACAAAAACAAGCAGATAGCGGCGGCCACACTACGTAGGGTGCTGGAGACAAACAACATGACCGTCGCCCTGATTCAGGAACCCTGGATCAGAAATAATAGGATTTGCGGTCTGAACAACATCGGTGGTAAGTTACTTTTAAACACATCTGTCGATAAACCAAGGACATGTATTTTTACACCCAAGTCTATAAAAACAACCATGCTTAACCAATTCTGTTCTAGAGACCTCACAGCTGTGACGATCCCCACAGATAACCAAACAGTCCTGGTACTAGCTTCAGTCTACATGCCGAATGAGGGGGAAATTCCTCCGAGGGAGCTGACCGAGCTGATACGACACTGCGAGGACCACAAATGGGAGCTGATTGTAGCGGCAGACTGCAACGCACATCACTCACTGTGGGGAAGTAAGGACACAAACAAAAGGGGTGAGTTATTAACTGAATACTTATTCCAAACCAAGCTTAACATCATGAACATTGGGACGGAGCCCCCATTTGTTAGCTCTAGGTACCAAACTATCATAGATATAACATTAGCGACACACGCGGTGGCCAATCTAATCGAAGGATGGCACGTGTCAAACGAACCCTCCTTTGCAGACCACCGCAGGATATGTTTCCAATTACAATACAGACAAATAGACCCTGTTCCATATCGCAACCCCCGAAAAACAGATATAGCAAGGTACGTATAACTAATAACTAAAACACTAAGCGAGATGCAAATACATGATGAAATCCCTGACATAAACAACATAGAAACAAACGTACAGTTCTTCACTTCAGCGCTTCTTAAAAGCTACGAACTGACGTGTCCTACCATCGTACCGAAAGGCCTGGGTAAAAGTTCCTGGTGGGAGCCAGAACTTGAGAAACTACGTAAGGAACTCAGGACACTTTTCAATCGAGCGAAAAACACCAGAACCAATGAGGACTGGGACAGATATAAAATAGCACAAAAACACTACAAGAAGCGGATCAGATTCCGGAGTAGAGAAGGATGGCGCGGTTTCTGTAGTAATGTCAATTCAACAAATCAAGCTGCCAGAATCAAGAAAGTTCTGTCCAAGGACAACTCCAACCTCCTTGGATCTCTGAAAAGGGAAGACGGCACTTATACAAAAACAGAAGAAGAAGCCAATGCGGTACTACTGGAAACCCATTTCCCAGGATGCCAACTGGCGCCAGGCCTGGAGTGGTCGACTGAGCACCACAATGCACCAACAACCCAGGAATGGGACCTGGCAAAAACAATAGTAACGGCGGAAAAGATAGAATGGGCTCTAAAAAGCTTTCAACCATTTAAGTCAGCGGGACTAGATGGTATATTCCCGGCGCTACTACAATGGCAACTAGGTCAGGCAATTAGATACCTACAACCTATCTTTAGGGCCTGCCTGGCCTTCAAGTACATACCAAAACCATGGAGGGAGGCAAAAGTAGTCTTCTTACCGAAACCAGGCAAGGACGACTACACACAAGCCAAATCCTTCAGACCAATAAGCCTAACCTCTTTTCTCTTAAAAAAATTGGAAAGACTGGTAGACCGACACCTTAGGGATGGAGCACTAAGTAAGGCTCCGCTGCACCCTCAACAACATGCCTACAGGAAAGGCAGATCAACAGAGTCGGCACTGCATTCAGTAGTCCACAAAATAGAGTCGGCAATCACAAATAAAATCTCAACACTGGCAGCCTTCATAGACATAGAAGGTACGTTTGACAAAACGATGCACAACAGCATTAACCACGCCCTAAGAAAACTCAAGGTGGACCAAGTCACCAGAGGTTGGATCACCGAACTGGTTGGCAAAAGGGCGGTTCAGATAGTGGGGAACGCTACCACGCGTGCGAAGGTACTCAGAGGACGCCCACAAGGGGGAGTCCTATCACCACTTTTCTGGAACATAGTAGTGGACAGTCTCATACGGAGTCTGAATAACAGAGGATACACTACTATTGGTTATGCGGACGACCTAACAATTCTGATAAATGGGAACGCTGAAAATGTCCTTTGCAAGGTTATGCGTTCAGCCCTTCAGATTGTGGAGAAATGGTGTGACGAACATCACTTGTCAGTAAACCCGAACAAGACAGAGCTAGTCCTTTTCATCAACAAAAGGAAGCTACCTGAACTACAGTTACCAAAACTGTTTAATACCAAACTCTCCCTATCAACACAAGTGAAATATCTGGGCGTAATCCTTGATAACAAACTGAATTGGGTGAGTCATATTGATTTAAAAACAAAGAAGGCCTGCATAGCTTTTAATCAGTGTAGAAGACTAGTTGGTAAAAAGTGGGGTCTAAGTCCAAAGATCATCCTTTGGTTATACACAGCAGTCATCAGGCCCTCTATAACCTATGGTTCAGTTGTTTGGTGGCCCAGGACTCAACTGACCACAGTGAAATCCAAACTCCAAAGTCTACAACGCTTGGCGAGCGTAGCAGCAACTGGATGCATGAGAACAACTCCATCGGCTGCATTAGAGTACCTCATGAATTTAAGACCATTGGACCTGGTCATACAAGAAGAGGCGAAAGCAGCAGCCTTGAGACTAAAGTCTCTAGGATTATGGAGATTAAATACTGTAACAACACACTCCAATATTCTACAAAAGTGCACGAAGGAGATCCCACTCCTGGAGGCACCTATGGATAGAATATTAAGTCAACACGTCTTTGATCAAAGATACAACATCCAACTTACCGCGGAAAAGGCAGATTACTCTGGCGCCGGGGAAGTTAGGATATACTCGGATGGCTCCAAAACCAAGTGGCACTGGAGCTGGTGTCTTCTCAAACGACCTGAATATAAAAATATCTACAACCTTAGGCAAACAACAATCTTCCAGGCGGAATGTATTGGCATTACCAGAGCGGCACAGGCGGTTGCAGCCAGAGATATCAGAGAGTATAACATCAAGATCATCTCTGACAGTGCATCCATGCTTCAAGCCCTACGTAGCAACACAATAAACTCTGTCCTAGTAATGGAGTGCCGCAAGGCACTTCAATCCATTGCGGTTAGCAACACAGTAACTCTGCAATGGATAAAAGGACACAGCAGCTCAATTGGAAACGACGCAGCAGACGAACTGGCTAAGAGGGGAGCAGACACAAAGATGTATGGTCCGGAGCCTTTGCTGCCCATACCTCAGGCCCAAATTAAAACGTGGCTGCGTGAAATAACTCATAAATCACACTTGATGGAGTGGAAAACAGGTGAAGGATGCCGGCAAACGAAAAACGCGGTTCCGGCACTAAATAAAAGTTTTGCCCGCTCCCTTTCCAGACTAAATAGGGACAAACTTCGCAGGATTATAGGATCCCTGACTGGTCATTGTCCCCTAAACAAACACCTATATACAATAGGAGTTACAGACAGCCCCCTATGCAGAAGATGCATGGAGGCAGAAGAAACACCACAGCATGTCATCATGGAATGCAGAAATGTGGTCGACCAACGGGCACGACTTCTCCAGTCACCAGAATCGTTTCCGGAAGCTTGAAGCAGTCTATCAAGGCTGCTTTCCTTCTGGACCAATATAGGCTGGCTGGAGTAAGCGGCAATGTTGTTGAGATACACACAATGGTCCAATAATTAGGACTAAGTGCGGAAACCGCCCTGAAAAACTAACTAAGTAACTAACTACATATCCATATTTTTTTATGTAAATTTTACAAATATTTATAATTTTACTTAAAACTTAGATTAAGATTAAGATAAGTGAGCCTATGCATGAACACGTGTATGTATGTATGTTTGTGCTTGAGCATATATGTGAGTGTAAATAGTCTTTTTGTGCGCATGTTTGTTTTTGCGTGATCATGAGTGTTTTAAATAAATCAAGGAAGTTAGTTATTGTTGTCTGTATTATTTTATCTGTTGCAAAAATAATTCTACTTTTTCATAATGCGGGGATTCCAACCGAGTATGTTCTAACTTTTCATACTTATTGTATGAGTGGGGGTAGATGTCAATTCTTTTGTTCATACTATTGTAAATTTGAGATGAGAGACTATTATGTTGTCTCCTTGCAAACTTTGACTTTACTGAGACTAATAAATTTGTTGAGATAATTTGGACCAAGTTACAAAATTGGGCAGTAATTGAAGGTCTCCTTAATTGATAAACTGAGATATTTATATTATAGAAATAAATTTAAAGTTACCTGATTTTACAGCTACTTCGACCAAATGTTTGTTATTTTTTTGACACAACTCCCTGAACATGATACATCCATTCAATAGATCAAGGCAGTTTTTACACATGTAATTTGATGTGTCTTGAGATTCATTAATCTGAAATAAGTAGAAAATATATTTGAAAACAAGAAAAATATTAATGATATTTTTAGAAGACAAAATTTTACGTTCAATTGTAGATTTGTTATCTTTAGGGGGTATTAAAATATAGATTCTCAACAACATGATTTAACAAATAGAAAGAACATTTTTAGTTTCCAATGTTGAATCAGCCTTTATGTTTAAACTATTTGATTAGAATGCTCATTGTTTTAGAATAATATTGTTGTTGTGTTGTGCAGGCCATACCAAATTACATTAAAAATAGTTATACTGTTTGGACACCTTTACTATCTCTGGTTTTTTATTTTATTTAAATACTTACGGTAACACCAGAGAAATTTCTAATTTCAATAGGAATGCTTGGATATAGTATATTATTAAATATTGGCACAGTTCCTTGTTCTTTAAAACAAATTCTGCAGACAGGACTAGTTTTCTTGTTCATGGGTCTTCTTCCTCTATTTATGAAACAAAAACAAAATTTCATACATTTAGTGCTGTAAATCATTAGTGATCATGTAATTTGCTTGCTAGGATTTAGGAAATTCAAATCCATCGGTTCATGTTTACATACATGTTACCGCTCTAAATACTCACTTTTTCTTCTTTTTCCTAGTTTTTTGTAAAGCATTCGAAAAGAGAATTGACTTAAGTAATATAAGCGAAGTCATTATTTAATTTAACTAAGATTTTAAATAAGAAATGGATCGGTAATTCGAAGCTATAAATCCAATACAACAAAAACAAATGACAATAAGCAGAGTCCATCCACAAATTCCACAGCTGTCGGTCCAGTGTCCACAGACTAACAGACTAAAGCCCACCATTCACTACACGCACCGCGAGCCGAACCCCGAGCCGTACCCATCCGTGGACAAATCCGACATTGCCCACACACTATACGAGCGCCGAGTTGCAGTCCAGTCGCTTGTGTACTTTGGTGAGCCTCGCGCGTATCGTTCTTCCCTACCCTACCATGCCACCGGTGCTTTCCAAACGCACAAAAGTCGCTTTAGTTGTCGGTGCAATACTTTTAACGGAGAATAAAAAGAAAAAGAGCGTCTGAACAAAGGAATGGCTGAAACAACGAACAAAATATACTCATTTAAAATTGCTGCAATGCATTCAGTCCTGTAAACCACCTGCTTCTCTTTAGTTTTCTCTTTAAACAGCAGGATAAATTCTTGCCAAAACTCTTTTTGATCGCCGAACGACATGTTATTATACTCGTTTACTCGTTCGTGATACAAACAACACAACTGCAGGCCAATTATGCTCGCTAATTGTGATATTGTTTTGATGTCAATTTCACATTACGCATTATGCTCTCCGAAAAATGCGATATCAAAATGACATCAACTTGACATCAAATTTAAAATGATATCAACTTAAATGCGTATTAAGTTCAACTTTTTGACATAAAACAGTATCGCATAAACGTCAAAAATGTGATACAGACTTAACAAGTTAGGAGGTGGTTTTTCTGTATCAAATTTCTTAATTTTTTAATAAAAAAGAGTAAAATGGCTCGTTTCGTGTTAGTAATGGACTATTTAGAACGTGCTTATGCCGAGGACATGCGTAGAAGAGATAAACCCTTTGTAAAAGAGATACAATTAGCTCTTTATGTTCGCTAATTGTGATATGGTTTTGATGTCAATTTCACATTACGTATTATGCTCTCCGAAAAATGCGATATCAAAATGACATCAAATTAAGCGTATTATGATCAACTCTTTAAAATGATATTAACTTGATATCAACTTAAATGCGTATTATGTTCAACTTTTTGACTTAAAACACTATCGCATAAACGTCAAAATAGTGATACGCAGAACCACCTCTTAACTTGTTAATACTGGATCACGTCTGTATCACTATTTTGACGTTTATGCGATAGTGTTTTAAGTCAAAAAGTTGAACATAAGAACATACAACATAAACATAAAGAGCTAATTGTATCTCTTCTACAAAGGGTTTATCTCTTCTACGCATGTCCTAGGCATAAGCACGTTCTAAATAGTCCATTACTAACACGAAACGAGCCATTTTACCCTTTTTTATTAAAAAATAAATAAATTTGATACAGAAAAACCACCTCCTAACTTGTTAAGTCTGTATCACATTTTTGACGTTTATGCGATACTGTTTTATGTCAAAAAGTTGAACTTAATACGCATTTAAGTTGATATCATTTTAAATTTGATGTCAAGTTGATGTCATTTTGATATCGCATTTTTCGGAGAGCATAATGCGTAATGTGAAATTGACATCAAAACAATATCACAATTAGCGAGCATAATTGGCCTGCAGTTGTGTTGTTTGTATCACGATCGAGTAAACGAGTATGGTAACATGTCGTTCGGCGATCAAAAAGAGTTTTGGCAAGAATTTATCCTGCTGTTTAAAGAGAAAACTAAAGAGAAGCAGGTGGTTTACAAGACTGAATGCATTGCAGCAATTTTAAATGAGTATATTTTGTTCGTTGTTTCAGCCATTCCTTTGTTCAGACGCTCTTTTTCTTTTTATTCTCCGTTAAAAGTATTGCACCGACTACTAAAGCGACTTTTGTGCGTTTGGAAAGCACCGGTGGCATGGTAGGGTAGGGAAGAACGATACGCGCGAGGCTCACCAAAGTACACAAGCGACTGGACTGAAACTCGGCGCTCGTGTAGTGTGTGGGCAATGACGGATTTGTCAACGGATGGGTACGGCTCGGGGTTCGGCTCGCGGTGTGTGTAGTGAATGGTGGGCTTAACAGACACACACACATATTTTTTTTGGTTAAGTTCTCCCTTTTCAGGGAAGGCAAGGGGAACAATGCCCATACAGCCTAGTCTTAGGTTAAATTATTCTGTTTTTCTTTTTACATTAGAATGTCGGTGTGACGCATTCTAATGTTTCTTGAAGTGTTTGGCACGAAATGTATCGAGCTGGCTTTTTCGATAAGCTTCTGTGAGGTAGTCAATACTACAATAAAATTCTCACGTCCACTTGACCGGAATAGCGTATATTTAGACGATTCTACTAATTCTTCAGTTACGCAGACAGTTGTAACACAAAATCACACCAATTTTATTTCACAATATCCGCTATGAACGAATTTAAGAATAATTAAAATAAGACGCCAACCACACTCGATGAAATCCCGCAAAAACTCCCAGTCCAGTGTTGCCAGTACCTGCGTCGTGTTTCGGACGATTCGGAATCTGAAAAGGGACGATTTTTAGACAAAAAGGACGGGCCTGCAGAAATATATTTATCTTACGTGTTGTGTTGTGACGCAATCTGCTTCATACATTTAGTACGGTTAGAACTATATTTGTGTGTCGCCATGTCTCGACAGCGTTCAGAAATCAATATATCTTTATTCAAATTGGATGTATAGTAGAACTCTTTTATATCGTCCAAATTTTTTCCCTACCACTCGTTATTGGACAAATTTTTTAGCTGCGGAGAAAAACGAGCGAGCAAAAAAAACTCCACAACATTAAAAGTATAATGTAACAACATTTACAAATCATTATGTTGTTACAATGTCAATACAATCATGATTTATTTAATATAGAAAAGCTGTTGGAATGATTGGAACAAAATGGTTGGGTATGAACCAACCATTTTTGTCTGTAATATTAGCAGACACTTTGTAATAAGCTTTTATAGTACCTAACTACTTTTTTATACTATCCTGAATTTATATATGGTTAACTCTTGGATATTGCTTGGGATTTTATTGTATAAGCAATCACAAAGACCTATAAATGAATTATTGATTTTGTGAAGCCTAGTAGCAGGTAAAGTTAGTTGTATTAAGTGTGTGAACATCGTTGTTTTTAAAACACAAATTATTATATTTTACGAGTAATAAATTTTCGTATATGTATTGTGATGCGACCGTCATTATGCCAAATTCTTTAAACTTATCTCTTAGAGATTCTTTAACTTTAAGATTATAAATTGATTGAATAGCTCTCTTCTGTAGCACAAAAATAGTCGGCGGAGTTTCCCCACAACAAAATTCCATACAACATTACACTATAGAAATAACTCAAGTACACTAATCTGGCCGTATCTACATCCGTTAACTGGCATATCTTCGCTACAGCATTATGCTGCAAGTCTATTTGACAAATTATCAAAATGTGGGTCCCATTGAAGCTTAGAATCTACAGTAATCCCTAAGAATACTGTGGTCTAATACATGTGGTAATCTACAAGGCCCACATTTACATTCACACTGGTTTTTACCTGTTTTACATAAGTTAATACATTTCGTTTTTCCATCCTTAAGTAATAAATTATTAACATTGAACCAGTGGACTACCTTAGAAATACAACTGTTCACGTCATCAATAATTGTTTCCTTGCGTTTGAGTTAAAATAAAAGTGATGTATCATCCGCAAACAATCTCATGTTTATCTCTTTCATAGTAAGGTTATTAATATATAAAAAAATAAGAAAGGACCAAGGATTGAGCCCTGCGGAACACCCAAGTTAACCGGCGAACCCTGAGACTTATTGCCATTAATGTCAACCCTCTAAATCCTATCCCTCAGTTATGATTCAATAAGATCCAGATCGGTATCTCTTAATTCATAGTGGTGGAGTTTCTAAGTAATGTTTCATGAAAAACGCAATCAAAAGCCCTGGACAAGTTGCAAAACACATCTAGAGCGTCCTGCGAGTTCTCTAAGGCGTTAAAAATTTCTTGTATAAGTTCATCATCGGCATCGGTTGTTGAACGATAACATCGACATAGATCCGGCGTTTTCTTTTTATTTAATTGGTTAAACGTTTTTATTACATATTTAAAGTCAACATGTTTAAAATGAAAATGGCTAGTAGAAGTGTTCACGTTTTCTCTTAAAATTGATTCGGCAGCAACGGGGGAAGAGTTCAAAGATTTAGTCGTTGAAACTGGAATATCAGTAAAGAAATTTTCGAATGCTGTAGCAACTTCAGTATCTGATGTAACCTTTTTATTAACAATATTTAAGTTATAATTATTATTGCGGGTTTTGGATTTTCTCGTTTCATTGTTTATAATATTCCATGTCATTTTGATTTTGTCATTACTGTTCTTAATCTTGATCTCACTTTAACCATATTAAATTTATGAAACAGATAGCTCTCTGATGCATTAAAACAAACACGACAGATAAGTGTAGTTCTGTCATAATACATTTAAATAAAAAAAACGGCCATTTTAGTTATATTTTTTTGGGCACACAATAAAATAAAGAAGATGGTACGGAGGACTATCCACTATGTTGTAGGTACAGCATGGTGGTACGAACGTATCACAGACTTTACAAAGTAAGCACTTATTCCTAAGTTATTATATTCATAATTGAAACATACCTCAAAAACAAAAGTTTTTATAAGGTAAGATAATGGTAGGTGGGTTTGAGCATTGCGTAGGTATATATTAAACGTAGGCATAGCGAGCGTTGGATTCGATGTAGTTTACTTGGTGATTTGACGAACAAAGTTGACAATCTACAACGTATTGTGATTGCAACTTAGTGAAATTAATCAATGATTGAAACGAAATGCATTCGTCTAATGTTGCAGTGGAGCGTTATTTAAAACGGACGGAAAAAGGGACGGAATATGTAAAAGGACATCGAAGGGACGCTTTGATGACAAAAGGGACGAAAATCGTCCCTTTTGGGACGTTCTGGCAACGCTGTCCCAGACACACACACAGAATCACAGCACCATAATGCACAGAAAGTGCGAAGGAGGCATTAGGGTGCGGCCAGAGTGCACTCAGATTCAGATTCTGAAAACAAGCGCGAGAAATAGACAGTGTAGTCTAAGCAGGTTGCCTGCTTTTTCTCGCGCTTTGTTTTCTGAGTCTGAATCTGAATCTGAATCAGGAGTGCACTCTGGCCGTACCCTTCGACTACACTGTTTATTTCTCGCGCTTGTTTTCAGAATCTGAATCTGAATCTGAGTGCACTCTGGCCGCACCCTTACTCTATTATGTTTCATTGTAATTTTTGCTTGTTTTTTTTTTATTATTCTGGCCTTGGATACTCAGTCTTTTAGCAGAAGACATTTCCTTGCCTCTATCGGTGTTGCCAGACCTACGGATTTGTCGGTAAATCTACGGACTTTAGGACTTGGCTACGGACATACGAATTTAAATCGCGAATCTTGAGATTTATACGATTTTGATTTCATCCATTAAAACAATAGAATGAACATGCTAATTAAATAAAACTGCGTTAAACACAAAGGTTCTGCGACTTGTGTTACGTTCTTTGTTTTTGCTTAGAACTAAAGTATAGAAAGAGTTTAAATTCAAATCATTATAGTAGGGTGGTGTTGAAACATCTTTTGGCGCACGTCATTTCGATTTCTGCTCGTAGTGCTCAACTACTCGCCGATCAGTAAGGCGCCAGCGCCTTTCGAGGTACGATCTATGTTATTTTTACCGCACGCATCCCGAGCAATTCTCTGATGGTATTTATCGTAAACAGGCTAGTGTTCCACATCTGCCAGGCGTCCCGTGACGGCTCACATTTATTTTTGATATTTTTGTAATTCGGCCTCGTTATCGAGATATCGGAAATCTTTTGTGAAAACACACGTTTTTTTGGTCGAAAATAGTCGTTTTTTTCGATTTCCAAAAAAGTCGCCTTTTGAGCCATTATACGTCCTCGTGGCCCTAACTCTCGGGGTATCACGGGCGAGTCGCAATTTCAGCGAAAATGGGTGCCTACTGGAGCGAACGAAAAAACCATTTTCAATGTTAAAAAATATCTTTGTCTTGGCTTAAGGATTTTTAGAAAATGGATCTGGCAACATTGGCTCCCACTTAAAAGTTTTTGGCGGGATTTCATCGAGTGTGGTTGGCGTCTTATTTTAATTATTCTTAAATTCGTTCATAGTGGATATTGTGAAATAAAATTGGTGTGATTTTGTGTCTGTCTGCGTAACTGAAGAATTAATAGAATCGTCAAAATATACGCTTATTGTAGTATTGACTACCTCACAGAAGCTTATCGAAAAAGCCAGCTCGATACATTTCGTGCCAAACACTTCAAGAAACATTAGAATGCGTCACACCGAAATTCTAATGTAAAAAGAAAAACAGAATAATTTAACCTAAGACTAGGCTGTATGGGCATTGTTCCCCTTGCCTTCCCTGAAAAGGGAGAACATAACCAAAAAAAAAACACTGTCTTTGCTTTGTTTCTGAAATCTGTTCTGGGGCCTGTGTCATGTATTACTTTTCTCTATGGCCTGTGTTCGGTAGTGTTTGTTTACCATTGGGTGATCTGTTCATCGTATTTTTAATTCAAAAAGTGAAATTAATAAACGATGGCCGTCTTTGTAACTAAAGCAATGTTAGCTAAATTTAATAATAAAATTGAAATCCCGTACATGCCGGTAAAAGAGGATGAAACGTATGGAACAGATAGTCATTGGCAAAACATTCCAATGGATAGGTAATCCAATGATATTTAGTAAATATTAGCGAAACCTTAATTTTTTTAGGGTGCCGTAGTCCTGACAAGGAACCCTTCGTCTCGTCTTAGTCCGTCTGTCTGTCCGTTCCCGGTTTTGCTTGGAGACTGTTAGCTCTAGAGAGCTGTAATTTTGAGGAGATGTTTATCTATCATGCGGATAAAATGGTAGAATGAAATTTTGAATGTAACCTGGAGATGATTTTATCTTTTCATCGTCTACCTCATCGTTGAATAGGTCCTTTAAAATTACTTACGGGTTTCTAAGACTATTTTTCGGTTTAGGGATCCATTTTCGAAATATTGAACTTTAAAGTGCAAAGGTTCGTGTAGGGCGCCCCCCCCCCCCCCCTCTAAAAGCTTAACTATTGACTTTACAAACCTGGAAAAATTCATGATAATAGTGCTTTTCATGAACTTTAAGGAAAACTATAATGGGTAAAATAGATTTGTTACTTTGAGAGTAATTATCGTTCGACTTATGTATTAGAAAATTTCTGACCTAATGAATATTCCTTATAAGAAAACATTAAAAGTTACTTAGACGAAATAATTGCTTAAAATATGGACTCTTTCCTAATATATTATGGTGACAATGAGCAGCTACATAACCCTACAATGAGCGGGGCACGACATGCACTTGGCTCGTTTATTTTAGGTTAATATTTGTATATTAAGTGTTTATTGGTGTTGTGTTAGATGTAAGATATCACAATATCAGTTTCACCTTGATAAGTTTACTCATATTATTAAAAACTATAACAGTTTTGATTCCAGTTTCTTAACAGGACAATCTTAAATTAGTATCCTCTAAAGAGTACACTTACTAAGTATTTATTTAAAATATTACTGATATTAAATTTTTTAAACATTTTAGCGACTCTTTGTCTAAGGGGTCAATTTGCAGAGTATGTGGTAGAGAAGGACATAGACTGTTGAGTGAAAAGATCAATGGTTATGATGTTATGAGTGCTATCTGCAGCATCACAAATGTTACAGTATGTATGAATTTTTTTTAGTAAGTGCTTGCTACTTCATTTGCATAGAAATATTGATTGTCCATTATGCTTTCATCACCTATTTCACCCCTTGAAGATTTATTTCCGCCTATGGCATGGCATTCACTACTCTTTGTTACATGCCTATGAACATGGAGGCAAGAGTGACCTAACCTAAAAAGTGTTGACAAATCACTACTAACATTTATTCCAGAATGAAAGTTAGTTCAACGGGAGGACTCCCCCCTAAGAAAATTATTAGCTAAGCCAAAGATGACATCATCAATTGTCATTTTTAATAATATTGTAACTGTAATTTTAATATGTTAAAATCAGTCTTTATTTTCTGTTATAATAATATAATATTTTATGTGTGTTGGCTATTATATTGTAAATAATAAACAATTAATGTCCATAGGTAAACCGCTTAACTGAGACCTTGCTTGCGGGGTACAGGGTGTGGGGGAGGACGAGAACGGGGGCTGTGAGAGGTGCGGGCGGCGGACACTTGTAATTTTGACAAGAATGTGCCTGCCACCCGCACATCTCACTGTGCCCGTTTTCGTCCTCCCCCACACTCTTTCCTCGTAGGCAAGGACTTGGTTAAGTGATCTACCTTTAATTTATATGTGTTTGTGATTTTAGATAAGTCTTGATGATTCTCTACCTAAATATATCTGTTATGATTGCCTGGAAGCATTAAAAATTGCAATGAATTTTAAGATGACATGTGAGGTATCTGATAGGAAGTTCAGAAGAATTTTAAATCCAATGGGTAAATACTTTTGTTGTATTAGATGAGATATACATACTTCTAATATTGAGATAGGTTTGTAATTTTACTAATAAATAAATGTAAATATTTCACAGGTGATCCTGCTTTCCATTCATATCCATACTCTAAGCATGACTTCCAGATGATTTTGCATCATATGAAATTAAAACAAATGAGAGTTGAAGAGGGAAAAGAAAGATTGCGTCAGAAAAAGATGGAAAGAATAGAACAGAAGAAAGCTCCTAAAGTCAAGGAATTCAACTGTTCTCCATGTGATATGACTTTTCCAAATAAGGTAAAAACTAACGTATATTTTTCTTTTTCAGTATTAATAATTCTATAGTTTCATCTCATGTTTGTTTTAAGCAGTATTACCAGTGAAGTTGTCATTTACGATAACTGTTTAATGCTATTGGTGCATTTGGCTTTTGTATAAACTTGTGATAAAGACAAAATTTTATCCTGGATCATGTTTATTTATATACACACACATACCTATAGATATATTAAGTTTTCATTAGCAGAAAATGTAGTTTGTACACATGAAAACTGCTGATTGTTCTAATTTCAAAGAAAAATGAAAAATTATACTTGATATATACAAGATATATAGATATAAAAATTGAAAATTGGGTTTTCCTGGCTTCTGATTACAGTAAAAAAACCGGCTAAGTGGGAGTCAGATTTGCTCGTTCTGTACTAATACATAATATAATACTATAATCTAAAGATACGCGACAACTATCGATATTATGCTGTATTAATACAAAGCAATGCGATATATCGATATTTTATATCCATGGACGACCATAGGCATCGATATGACGAGACGACCTCCGTGGCCGAGTGGTTTGTACCCTGGGTTTCAAGGTGTCCCCAACTCGAGAGGTCCTGGGTCCGGAGTGTTGAAAATATTAATTTTATATATCGAATCTCTAGTCTAGGTAAAAAATATCGAATCCTTTATTCTACTTCACTTCCTGTAATAAACTCCTTTATGTTTTGGCAAGGAGAGATTAATTTAAGCAATTTTTGCACTTTTGCACTAATTAAGTCTGAATTTTCTAAATCACCCTCCAACCTCCATATTCGGAATTAATTTATTAGTCCGTGTTTGGGTCACAGACATACATATTTGTTCCAAATTTCTACTTGATCGGTCCAGTAGATACCCAGCAAATAGTCTGGGCATACAGACAGACAGACAACAGTGATCCTATAAGGGTTCCGTTCTTGATTGAGGTACATAAACCCTGAAAGTGTCCGAAGCTGTGTTAGCAATTAATTAGTAATATTAAGCTCATGTACAAGCCCATAAAATTTTTATCTACTTCTAGGAAAAGTTGATGGCACATCGTCGAGAGCGCCAATGTATGCGTCGGGCTTGTGACATTTGCGGGCAGTTAGTACTGAGCATTGGTCAGCACAAGAGACACATACATAAGCAGAATGTGCCCCACAAGTGCCCCACCTGTGGAAAAGAATTTCCCATCATTGCCCGCTTGAAGAACCACATGTAAATAAATGAAAATATTGTTATTAAAGGTCGCAGCTCATTATACCCACCCTGCACCGCCTCAACACGTGCGGTTGATATTCTTTGTATGGATTTCTGTGGATATGCGCTCGCTACATCAACTCGGTACCGTCGCTGATTTTCTCGCTCGCAAGTTGTCGGCGCACGGGTAGCGGGCGGACAACTCAGTGACCACTCGCCGCTCGCACGCTTGCTGTGTGCTGACCGCTGGTTGTAAACGCGCTGTTCCTAAGTGACACGAGCGCGGCTTTCAGTTGAAAACTTATTACATTTTCTTTTTCTTCAAGTGCGACACTTATTACAGCCAATTCACGGTTTGCTAAATTAAACATTGTGAAAACACGTTTTAACCTATTGACTATCTTTAATTTACACACTACTTAATTTTCCCTGACAATGCGGAGTCATCTACGCGACGGCGTGGCATTAACCATATGACCACATGTCGTTCATTGGTCGACAACGAGGCGTCCACCCGTGGCCCACCTGATGTTAGCTGGTTGACAGCCCGGCGTCCACCTGAGTTACCTCTACAACCACAAGTGGACGTCACCCGGCGAGGCACTGCCGGGTCTAATGAGCTATGTCTTTAATTCTTCTCAACTACCAATTAATATGCCTTAAGGCTGTCATAGCAACTGACCTTCGCAGCCAGTAGTGAAATAAGATTTTTCATATTTGGACGGCAAATATATCAACAACTCAGAATTTTTGCCAATGTTGTTACTAAAAAAGAAATCTTTAATTTTAATGACGTTACCTACATTACGATATTTTTTTTTAATTTGTAACGTAAGAAAAAAGCTTATTTACCAAGTGGTTGCGATTTTGTTATCAATCTATCTTTCTTCTGTGTTACGCAGGCTGATACATACTAACACGTTCAACTTCTTCTGCGACCTCTGCCCTTACAAATGCAAGCATAAGTACTATCTGGTGATGCATATGCGCACGCACACGGGAGAGAAGCCGTACAAGTGTGACCAGTGCACGGCTACATTTGTCAATCCTTCCAATCTTAATAAGCACAAGTTGACACATCAAGAGAAACAGTTCAAGGTAAGTTTTTTTTCTTCATAATTATATTTATGAACGAAGTTCCTTTCCGTACGGACTGGACTCAAGAAACAGTTTAAGGTATGTTTTTCTTCTTCATAATTATATGAATGAACGAAGTTCCTTTCCGTACGGTACAGACCCAAGAAACCGTTCAAGGTATGCTATTTTTTTCTTCATAATAGGGATGATGACTAATTTTTTTTTCTTCGTTTATCAGGTAGATTATCAAAAAGTATTGGACACGTATTTTTTCTTTTTTCACATAATATAAACATTGCAGAGATATATTGATTTGAAAATTCGCATGACGTCACGTTTTACAATTAAACAAGTACAATTTTCACTCAAAAGTGACGTCACGAACCCCTACTCCCAAACTTTGACGCGCTATAACTTTTTCATTTTTTGGTTGATTGCCCAAAGAAAAAATACGTGTCCATTATTTTTTGATCATCTAACTGACGGACGAAATAGAATTTCGTTTACTGTACCCCGTCATCACCCCTATTATATGAATGAAGTTCCTTACCGTACGGTACGGACTTGGCGGATGGGGACTGGATGAAAAAAGTTTAAGATTTTTCCGTCACAACCGTCAGTTTGTTTAGTGGCGTATTGTGTGTAGTTTAAATAAAACTTTTTATCGAAATTTAACTGTCAATTTTATTCTAGTTTGACAGTCAATAACGAAATTACTTCATCACATCGCGTTTTGATTGATGGCCATGCTGGGGGCTAAATATCGAACTATATCTCTTGTCCCTTTCAAAGTGGAAGAAAAGTGTGGATCGCTTTCCCGTTTACATTTAATGAAAAATATGGTGGATAGTGAAAGTTATTCAATTAGGCCCCCTGTAATGTAATCATAATAAGTTTAAAAACGGATATTCTTTTACAAATAAAAAACGAGCGAGCCTTACAGTAGTCGCATATGATGTGACATTTGAAACCTCACCTTTTATTAGTAAAAAAGGGGAAAAACCTACTACAAAAGGAATAAGCCATTTGAACATTATGTTCTCAAATCAAATCAAATAGCGCGCGCTTCCCAAACTTCCTATTACCCCCTTCCGTCCCACTTCACGTAATCACTGCTACAAATTGCACGAAAGCGAGAGGAAAGATGTTACACATCAATAGCTTTAGTTTCACAATAAGTTTGTTGAAATTATTTCATTTTTACAGTGCGGAATGTGTGAGAAAGCTTTTCGAACGAACACAGCGTTGCGGGAACACCACGGAGCCGCACATATGAACATAAAGCACGCTTGTAATTACTGCGGCCGGGACTTCTGCTACAAGTAAGAACTATGATTCCTCTATATTTAAGTATTTTAAGTATCCTACTAATATTATGAATGTCAAAGTATGTAGGTATGTTTGTTACAAAATCATGCAAAAACGGCTGTACGGAATTTGATGAAATTTGGCACACATATATTATAGTTTATTATCTGGATTGAGACAGAGGATACTTTTTATCCAGAAAAATGTTGGTTTCCTGAGGGATTCTCAAAATAACTGAAGTTAACGCGTATGGAGTCGTGGGCGGCCGCTCGTTTAAATATAAATAAGTAAATCAGAGAGGAGCTCGATGGCGCAAGTGGTTAGCGCGTTCGGCTGCGATCGTTGAACTTAAGCAACTTTCGCAGTGGTTGGTCATTGGATGGGTGACCAAAAATTACTATCTCGAGCTCCTCCGTGCTTCGGAAGGCACGTTAAGACGTTGGTCCCGGCTGCATCTGCAGTGGTTAGCACCCGCCAATCCGCACTGGACCCGCGTGGTGGGTCATGGCCGAATCTCCCTATTCCATCCATAGGGAAGGCCTGTGCCCCAGCAGTGGGTACATTAATAGGCTGGTGATGAAGTAAATCAGTAGGAGCTGTTTTTGAAACATGCAGATTTTTAAAATTAAGTTACATAGGTACTTATGGCCGAAAATTATTATTTGTTCTCGTATCATAAAAGTTCTCAAGGGTGAATCTTGTGACTCGACGTTTTCAGTCAATTCCCCTGGCGCACCTGAGTATAAAAGTGTTTACGTAATGTAAAATTTCTTACATGAGAATTGTTCGAACAATAAACGAACGAACTACTGTTTACACGTGGTTTTCATCCAATAAGACTAAATGCTATAGTTAATAACAATAACGCTATTAAAGACATGCTCTTTAATAACCAAATAGACATATACATACATCCCGGCAAACTTTTTGACCAACGACCATAGACAAGGAAGCCTGCGCAGTAGAAATTTTACATACAAAAACGTTTACTGCGCATGTTTATTTTCTTTGTGATTATGCTCAAGAAGTTTGCCGCTACCCATACCAAGTAAGTACCCTTAGTACGAGTTTGAGCTCACGAAAACTATCATAGTTTTCGAAAACTATCATAGTTTTCGTAATTGTAAATTGTTTCTATTTCTATTTTGGTGAAAAGTAACCAAATATACTTAAAATTTAAGAAGATGCAAATGATTTAATGATAGAATTTAAACACTGTTTATTTGTATTGAAACGTAAACAATAAAATTAGTAGCTTTAGTACGAGTGTGAGCTAAAACTATTATAGTTTTCGTAATTGTAAAACTCGTACTAATGGTACAGTACATATTTTTCCGTAATCTTTATGCAGATCGGACCTTCGTAAACATGAAATACGCAACCACAATCGTATCAAACGCAACTATGTCGGCGGCGAACCGACCTACAAGCAAGTGGAGCGTCTGCAGAAAATGCAAGATGGCAACACCATCGATAAGTGGCGTACCGAAGAGATCATATTGCAGCAGCCGCAGATAGTGCAGACCACCACTTACATTGATCAGAGTAAAGAGTTCCTGCCCGCCAACCACTCGATGTACTTCTCTGACGTCACCGGCATGATACAGCAGCCACAAATGAGTGAGTGATATATCTATTTAATATATAAAATTCTCGTGTCACGGTGTGCGTAATTGAACTACTCTGAAACGATTTTCGTAAAATTTTATATGCATATCCAGTAGGTCTGAGAATTGGACAACATCTATTTTTCATCCCCTTAAATGTTAAAGGTATTAACCCTTAAATTTTTTTTTTCGGACATTTTTTTTTATTTTTTATGATACCTTATATTACAAAAATACATACAAACCTAAATTTTTACCCTTTTACCACCAACCCCCATTTTTTATGGTTGTACGAAGTTCGCGGGGACCGCTAGTTTTTTTATATATAACCTTCATTGTGAGATTTCGGCAAAACTAAAATTCGGCCCAATGTGTGATTTTCACTTACCTAGCCCCGCCCCGGAGCGCAGTGCAGCGCATATTACAATTTGCTAAAGGAAATTGAAAACTCCACAAAGTGTGTAAGTTCTATATTTGCATGACAAACTGCGCGGCTGCTAGGGTCGCCAACCCTACTATATAATATAGTATTCTACTATATTAGGAGATCTAATACTATATTTAAAAAAAAAATATAGCAGGCAAAACTACTATATTTTGCTTAAAGCAGATTTTTGACAGTAAAAGCGTTCTTAGACAAAAGAATATAAAGGCATGGAAGAGCAAAAATATATTCAATTTAAAATAAAGTAGATATTCTAACCACTTACTATATTTTTTTCCATCTTTTTGCCATCTACTATATTTTTAGAGGTAACACCTTCAAAAAAACTATATTTGAAAAAAAAAGTTGGTAACCTTTGCTGTAGCAGAGTCGGAGCGCAGCCAGTCGGCTTCACAGTTGTTTGAATTGCATGCAAATAAGGAACTTAACTACTTCGTGGATGATTCAATTTCTTTTAGCAAATTGAAAAATGCGCTGCGTTGCGCTCCGAGGCGCGCCGTTAAGTGAGAATCATACATTACCTGGAACTAGCAGATAGTTAGGTTTCTATATAACATCAGTAGTTATCATGACATTCAGCTAAGTGTAAATCTATACTCATATTATAAAGAGAAAATATTTTTTTGTTTGTAATGAATAGGCTCTGAAACTCCTAAGCCGATTGGAAAAATTCTTTCACATTTAGAATCTATCATTATCTGTGATGAACATAGGCTACACATAGAGTATTATCAAAAAAGTTAAGGTTCCGTATGAAAACTTCGATAATGTAAATGTGTGTAAAAAATACAAAAAATAACCTCGTGTACGCTGAGGAAGTCATTGACAATAGAGCAAAATAATGTACTAAAGTTTTGGGGGAACTCAATATCTACAAAAAAGTATGCGATACCATATGTCTGTCTATCTCAGTTATGTCACAACTAGAGGTCCCCTGCGGTCACGCCCGCGTTTATTTGAAGAAAAAGCTTATAGTGAGTCAAACTTAAAAGATGGACATATGCTGTCGCGGACTTTTTTATAGAACTTTTAAAGGGGAACAATTCCGTCATTCATGGTTTTTGTGTAACTTGAACCATTTACGGGCGTTTGTGAGCTTTCTTTGCGTGCGTTGGGCACGCAACGAAAGCTCACAAATGGTTTATTTTTACTCGTTTTTGAAAAAAATTTCATGAAACCAATATGGCCGAATCGGATTTATTAAACGCGACGCCACGCCACGCGTGTTGAGTCAAACAAAATGTGCTAATTTCTATGATCAGAATCACATTTGAAACATCCGACGCGACGATTAGTGCAAAAAATTATGAGTGATAAAAGTAATGGGTGTGTACAAAACACTGCGTTATTAGATACATTTAATAATAAGGGCATGGGCCAATGGTTAGGGGGACAGACTTTTTTTAACAGCATAGCAATGGTGCATTCTTTAGAACAGGTCCTGATCTACGCTACAATTTTTTTACTATCAGATAAATAAATTTTCAAGCAAGGTTTATAATTACATTTATGAAGAAAGTTATTGTATACACTACAGCTCTACACCGAAGCGAAGCGAGAGCGGGCCACTAGTGTACAATAAGTAGGTTCTAACTTCTTTACAAATGCTGTCTTATAATTTCATATGTACTAGTTCCAAAAAATAACGTTCGGCTATATTTGTCAAGTTTGTTATAGGTACTCGATCGAAGAGCGTTTGTTGTATTTTGTACTAAGCTATCGGTTCGCTTAAATGTACATGCTTATTTTATTGTTGTTACAAACGATACGACCTGCCTCCTCTATAAACACGCCTGTCGATTAATGAATAAAACCAACTACCTCTGCATTTCTTATTAACATGAAAAAATATCAACTTGCAATGTTTTGCTTATAAATTATAAAATAAATATTTCGTTAACAAAAGGTATATATTGTAAGGCTTAAAGATTTTGCTAAAACGATTGCGCGATAATCGACACTTCTGTCTCTTTTGTCGTTCTGTGTTAGAACGAATGCAGTGCATTATATTAATATCGAAAATTCAGACCTTTATTTTTTACCTTTTAGAAACATAAAATATTCTTCTCCTTATACGGCAAATTTAAGGGAACAACATTATACAACAGCATCATTCACTTTCTTTTGTTTTGGTAAAGGCGTGGAAGTTGAGGAAATCTTCACGCGGCTGCCCCGGGATAACTTTTCAACTTTGAGTCCTGACTAAACGTTAGCTTACTTCCATGCATAATGTGTAACCTACTTATGCAAAACGTGTGAATAAGCGTAGGCATATAGGTGCTTAAGATATTACAGCATAATTTTTAATTTTTATTTATTTAGGATAACTAAGAATTGTGCAATATTGTACGTAATGTAGTAACACTATTAAATTAATTGATGTCATTACACAACCAACACCGTTATCCACTAAAAATATATCACAACACAGATTATTTTTTTTATAAAACATGATAAGTTTGCAATATCTATACTACTTGCAATTCGATCGTTTGACTTAAAAAAGTTACAAAACACATTTTTTTAAATGATTGGTAAACAATCAGTAATGGCCTTTTTATATTGAATAAAAGACATTGTAAACAAGTCCAAATCAAAATCAGATAGGTTGTCATTAAAAAAAATCATTATTCGATGTATAATTGATAAAATATACGTGAAAATAGGTGCCAAAGGACACATTGTAGAGAGAAAAATATTGCATGCGATAGTTTGCGACTTATCCGCGTGGTCAATAGGGTATTTGACAAGTTTTAGAAAACGATCTCACGTTATTGACTGATGTTTATGGAGTCCGTAAAACGTGGATATACATCATTTTGTTGTGTATTTCAGTAAAAATAACCAAATCAAAAACTCCATTTTCAAGTTGCCGCGAAAACGTTTCTCTGCACAATATGGCGTCTTAGTAGTGTGTGACGTCACACGACTGTTATTAAAACGTCAAACGATACAGTGTAATGTCACTTTAACCGGAAGTTTACTTGCGTCTGACGCCATTTTAGCCTCCGCCAATCCCAAGCGTTTTGGGTCACGTGACAATAAATAAGAAATCTATTACCTTTTTCGTTAGTTTTAAGTAAAATTATGAATATTTTTTTTTATAAAAATAGTAAAAACCCCTGCCAATATTCATTCTAAACACAGATGCTAACAATTGGCACTTTATTTTTAACACTGTCAAATACCCTATTGTGTGCATGACTGCCAAAAAGGTACATAATGTATTTTTTTAATAAAAAAAAAGTAACTTTATAAAAATCACGATCTAAAAGTATGAAACAAGAACACAATTATTCTCAACTGAAAATGTTATATACAAACAAACTATTCAATATTTATTGTCTATTAAATGAGTAATTAACACGTGACCTATTTATTATATTATAATTTATTTCGAAGCTCGTGCCCTCCACCTCTAACATTTATCTGTGGTGTGTGTGGTGTGGGTGATATTTATAATGATGTTCCTACGAAATGATAAGTACGTGCCCGTGACGTATGCGAGTGCTGGGTGTGAGGTCCGTTCGGCGGTGTGCCTTTTAAAGGCCCCGTCGTCTGTAAACAGAGGTTTTGCCTGCTCAGCAAAAAAGATCCCTTCCCCCCTTAGAACTCATACCGCTAAAGATACCTTTAAATCGTCTACTGCGCATGTCAAACCACGTGGCGTGTCAAGTCTCATCATTCGTGGCGCGTACTGTACATACCAACATTGTAGTTAAAAGTAAAATGAGCGATAATATGATACAAAATACATATAAAAAAAGTGGCTGTGACATACGGACGGACAGACAGACAGACATGATGAATCCATAAGGGCTATTTGGCTGCGGAACCCTAAAAATCAAATGAGTTACGAATGAAAGTAACAAATATTTTTGAAAATTAGCTAAATGAGCACTTTTACTTGATTCCCATATGGCACCATAGTGTTTTTATAAATAATGAAAATACAACTCGTTTGCTTTAAAATGCAGTTTGTATTCTCTATTTATCGTATATGCCTTTTTCAGTATGACTGTCTATCACACTAATATTATAAAGGCAAAAGTTTGTGAGTGTGTGTATGTTTGTAACTTCTTTACGTCTAAAAGGCTGGAGCGATTTTAATAAATTGGGTATGGAGTTAGCTGTCACCCTGGGGCACACATAGGCTACGTTTTACTGCGGGAAAATATCCCAAACATACCGCGGGTAACACCGAATAGATTTAACTCGTGAATATAATGATTAGTTAAGTATAATGTTCAGTGTAGTTTAATGACTATTGAGTCACACGACGTTGGATTTTGAGCAGTTTCCTGGGCTTTTATATCCGAGCAAATAATTGTCCATATTTGTCAAGACTTATTATATTATTGTTGATATTTTTGTGCTTCTGACTATAACTGATCAAATGCAAACAAATATGAACATTTCCGAAGACAATGCATATCTTAACCCTGTTGTTTTAATTGTTTTTATAGTGTAGAAATTCTTCTATTTTATTTGTTATACAATTTTTTTATACAGGTAAGTTTAACTTTGGATATTGTCCTTTGTTTCAGTTCAACAACACACAGTTCAGATTACTCTGTAAGTATTGTTTAAGTATATACAACCAACCCCTTATTTTTTTCCTAACCAACGTAACCTGTTTTTATGACCAAAAAAGCAAATTATGACACCTGATTTTAAGATTCCACTTTAGCCTATAAAAGCTTGCGATATCGGAGCATCTCATGCTCTGTACTCTGGGTTGTGTAGCCTGAAACATTACATACAAAAACACAAGTCCTCCAACAAGTTGTGTTATTTCATTGTAAAAGTCCGCTACCTATGTTTTACCTCTTTTACAGATGAACTCAGTAAAATTATACGTTTTGGGGTGTTGCGTTTCTGTCGTCGCAAGGTTTTCAGGGTATAGAGCTGCCATATACGGACTGCTCGAGCAGTTAGCCTGTGAACTTCTGATCAACATAAACTGACCGCCATTGCAGTCAGAGTCAAAAGCTTGAAGCTGCCATTTCACCGCGCAGCCGAAGCAGTCGCAACTGCTCGAGCGGTCCCAAAATTCATGTATATGAATACTTAGAAGTCTGTAGTACTGTGCAGCTTTATGCAGTCAATCCTGACTTAGGGATGGCAATTCATTCCAAAAAAGATCGATTTTTATTTCGATTCGAATCGTGACCTAATGAATGGATCCACAAAAAAACGAGGCCAATAAGATCGATTTCTTAAAAATCGATATCTTTTCAAGTTTTTGTTTATAATAAATCTATTTCATTTAAAAACAAGATACACATTAGTATTTAACGATCTCTTATCAGTAAAATAAGGTAATTCAATGATAAAAAATATTTTTATTCAAAGTTTACAAACAAACGTAACTTTTTTTTATTAAAAAGGGGCGAAAGCATCCAAACATACAGCCATCTCGCGAGTTTTTCAATAATTAACCCTTTAACCAGCAGCAATCTTATAATACAGGTACATTCAATTAATTGTAAATACTTTTTTGGTTTATACCAAAAAATAAAATCGAATCTCGATTTTCAAGGGTGAAATATCGATTCATTACTACATATCGATTTATAAAATCGATCGTTTTGGCTCCAAAAACGATTCTTCGATTAATCGATTTCTGATCGCCATTCCTATCCTGACTGCTTCAAGCTGTCCATGTATGACGAGTCTTAAGGGCATCTTAAGTTCAGGCCGGCAAGTTAAGAACGGCTGGAGCAATACATTTTTCTGTCGTATGGCCTTTTTTGCAATAGGATTCTACTCACGCATATCCAAAAAATAAGCAATCATAAGGTTTACACCAAACACGGTAAACTCGGGCATAGTTAACCCTAAGAAGTACCTCTTAATTATTCACTCGACAAATTTGTTTTAAACCCATTGGATTAGACCTTTTGCCCATCAGTTTAATAACACTCTGCCACATACATAAGTATTACTACATACATATTTCAGTAATTGTACCCTAATAATATTTTGTTAGCGCTTGCTGGATAATGGAGTTTAATGAGTACCGAGCCCGAGAAAGGGCCTGAGAAGTATAAACCTAACTTTAATTAAAGTACTTTATTTTTATATATCCACTTATTTTTTTAGCCCGGATCTGGAAATGAAGAAGGACGAGGTAAAAATTTATGAAACGCAACAAGGAATTGGATATTTCTAATCGATTTATTAGAGTAGAATAAGCTTAACCTTATATAAAATATTAATAATTTACTTTTTAAACAATGTATTTTATAATAGTGAATAGAGTACAGTGCAGCTATTAATTTGTAAGTGCTTTATATTATATACTCATTTAATAATAAAGATTTATTTAGTTACATTTTTTATTGTTTCAATAAATATACATACATGTTTAGGTACCTATTTAACAAATAATTATCATCAAAAAATAATGTTGAGATGTTGAATTAATGCTGAGAAATCGGTCTACTGTCAACTAGATTCTAAATAATGGAGGTCTTAATAGAAGTATATGTTACGCGAAAATTTGCCATTTCCATGGCGCACCTAACCAAGCAATAGTCACCTACATAACCGTGTTCTGACTATTGCTTGGCCCTTGGCTTGACTTGTCGTGAAAACGGAAAATGTTGGCAATAGCGCGATAGTGTGGCCGTAGCGTTACAGTATTACAGCATACCCTTTTAAAATAGCCAATAATTTTAATAACGTAATCGCAATTTAAAATATTAAAGCGGGAGTGCTCATCGATAGGACATCGATTTTTTCATTTTTATGATAAATGCGGGAATCTTGCATTTCCTCTAACTAGGAGTAGTAGCCGACCACTTCCACGCTGAACTTTAACCCTCTTATTAATAAAGAAGGAATAAGCTTAAATTAATTACGCCGTGTTTTGATCATGTCACTCTTAGAGTCTGTGCGGAATGAGAATGGGATTTAGATTGGAGGGCGCTGTAGTGCTTTTATACCATACATGATTAAATACAAAAAATCGCAAGAAATCACAACAACAAACAAATCCGTATCAATACAAAACTTTGACGTTTTCAGATTGCTGGGTTTGATTGCCAAATAAAAATCTTAATGTTAGTTCCGTTTTTCGCCACGCCCATTCTCTTTCCGCACAGACTCTATGCCATTTGTCATTCAATTAACAAGGACAAAACATGGAGTAACTTTTCCAAGCTTAGCCTTCGTTTATTAATAAGGGGGTATAAGTATAACAGTGAAGGTCGGGTGAAAAAAATCCACAACTTAAAGTCCGAAATCCCGCCGTCGCTCGATTTTGCAGCCATCTGTTTTTTAATAAAACTTGTATTAAGCTAAACTTTTTTATCGTATATATTTGTGTACAGCCACAATTGAGTACAGTGGCTAATTAGGTACTGGTACGTGTACAAGGACAGCTCATCTCAACCTGAAATCTCAGATTCAGCAGGACTCAGGTACTATCTACGCGGGAAGTCAGCGGCTGGCGTATATTTTTTTTCAAGTCTTTCCAGTCTAGCACGAATTGAACATTTGTTTGTTGACTATTCCTCATTATATTATTTACCTATACAAACTAATCATTCTTCTAATATTATGTGTGAAAGTTTGCACGTTTCTTACTCAATCATGCAAAATCTACTGAAGGGATTTGTATGGAACTTGATACGCGTATAGTTAATGACCAGGATTGAGACATATACACTTTACCGGAAAAAATTGGTTCCTGTGAGATTCTAAAAAAACTTAAGTTAACGCAGACGAAGTCGCGGGCAGCCGCTAGTACTATAATATATATGAGGTTGTTTGTTACACTTCCACGATTATCACTATATCGATTATGGTAAATGCTGGTAAATAGATAAGACCCTAGAGACGTTTATAGGCTATTTTTTGTCGCGAGAATTCAATTACAAGGGGATAAATTAAGGGATGAATGTTTGTATGGAAAATTCTTTTTTTTCTACGTGTATAATAGGCGAAGTCACAGGCACCCGGTGGTGTTTAAGCAAAGAGTACCAACCCACATACATACTTACATATTTTACAAAATAAAAAGGGTCTTGCTTTTAAATCCTCAATATGTATAGGGATTAAATAATAATTATGCTGTGTGTAATTCTATTATCGTAAGCAATCCAACGTTTAAAATTTCCGTCCAATTTAATTACGATGTTAAACCGAAGTTGCGGCATGACAAGCGTGCGACTTATGGGTGGGTAATTAAGGTCGCCTTTGAAATGGAATCCTGACCCGACATTACAATTTGAGGGCTGCCTTTCGATTACCTACCGGTTTTATAACGTGTAGGTAGGTCTGAATTGAGAAGTTGATCGTTGGTCTTGTCAATTCGCGATATCAGTTAAGATGTTTGATTTCTAGGTAATCTTATTGACTCCTCTATCTGTGAGCTGAAAGTACGGCAAGAAGCTCGATGGTGCAAGTGGATGGATTACCAAAAATTTACTATGCAAGCTCCTCCGTGCTTCGGAAGGCACGTTAAGTCGTTGGTCTCGTCTGCATCTGCATTCGTTAGCACCCACCATTCCGCACTGGGCCCGCGTGGTGGGCCATGGCCTATTCTCCTTATTTACATCCACAGGGAAGGCCAGTGCCCCAGCAGTGGGGACATTAATAGGTTGATGATGATGAATTAGCTGTTGATGCAACCTATTTACATTTGATAGTTAAATAATTGTCATTCGGTTTTCCATATACACGTAGTTCAACTTTGGCAGGAACCTTGAAATTTGTGTGCTCACAACAATATTAGGAATTAAAACCCCTTTTAATCTTTACAGCTATAATCACGGCAGTTTACCGACAGCATGTCGGCGGGGTACGTCGACCTGCGTTATTTTACTCGCTCGGTGGGAGGTAAACATAAAACTAATTAAAAAGATCGCACGCCCCGTCGCGCCGTCACGGATAGGCGTAGTTAATGATATTCGTCAGTGCCTTTTCACACAACAATATTTTGCGCTACTTACTTACGGGAATTGGAAATTGCGAATTGCTTATAACACGACTTTAGTAAGTAGATCTATACCTATTCTATGCGTTTATTAAAAATCTCCAATCGCATGGATAAGTATATGTATTGTGAATTTAGGCTTTGTTAGGTTGCTGCTGTTTTCATGGTTTTTCTGTAGCTGGTAGCTGATGTTTAAGTTTTTTAATTCTATAGCTTTTTAAATACAGCGTCAGACTACACTAAGAGCCGAAGTATTTCATTTTAGAATTTTGTTTTTAATTATTACTAGCTGTGCCCCGCGGTGTTACTCGCGGTTTATAAGGGGTATTTTCCCGCAATAAAACAGCTTATGTGTTAATCTGAGAGTGTCAGCTAACTCCATACGAAACTTCATTGACATCGCTCCAGCCGTTTAGACGTGAAGAAGTAACAAACATACACACTCACAAACTTTCGTCTTTATAATAGTAGTGTGATTAGTGTGTAGTACTTTTGCCGTGATGGTACGACTTAAATAATACTTGCTACCTCCGCCGCTAGATCGTAGCATCCTCCACCCATCCATTGGATTTCTTCCAAAACATTACGAAAAAATATGTCACTGGGTTAACTGACATTCATTACGTCCTTTACACGCAGGCAAAAGGCTGTCGTGTCAGTGCCCTTGTATACAGGACTGGCGCTCACGGTCAAAAAACCGCCTCGCCTAGTGTTGCCAGGTCCGATTTGTTTTAAATCGGTACATGAGGTCAAAAAAATCGGGTTTTAGGGTTGCGGATCGGGACAGTAAACAAAAAACAAGGGGTTTTTAAGGGCGCGTTTATATGACACAGAATGTCACAGCGTGGCGGTCGCACGGTGACAGTACGTCGACGGCGCGGCGGCCGCGCGGTCACCGCCTGGTGGCCCCGTCACTGCTAACTCGATTAATTTGCAGTTGATCTTGACTTTTCTCACAATTCACACGTATTCGTTATGGGCTATTTGACTAAGAAGAAGAAAATTATTATTGCATGTTACTTGTATCGACAAAGCTAAAAAGAAAAAACAAAGGAAAGGAAGATGATTTTGGTTTTATCCTATTTTTGCACGGCGAGAAGAGTTTGGTGAATTTATATACAACCAACATACATATGCTATACAACCAACTATATATGAAAAACAAATCGCAGATTATTTCCTAATGGATGTTAAAACATTTGATACATCATTTGATTCACATCACACAAATCATTTGATGTTAAAACATTCGAGTGACTCGAGCGAGGCGTCCGAGCGGCCGCCGTGTGATCGAGGAGCGGACGCCGCGCGATCGCCGCGCAGTTTGTTACTCGCAATGAATTTCAACGTTAAGTCCTAGTTAATAAAACATAAACAGACGGCCGCAAGAAATTTTTCGTGTCGTCTAACTGCTGCCTAAGTCTGGGTTTAATTTATTGTGTTTTAAAGTACTAGTTCAAGTTTAGTATTATATTAATTACCTAAATTAAATTTTTTGATTCATCGGGACATTTATCGTCCTGATCAGGTACAAATCGGGACGCGTCCCCAGACCCCTGAAAATAGCCACGCCGCGCCCGCCGTCTGTTTCACCTAGGTGTGTTCAGCCTATTCTGGCACGATTTTCTAAACCTCGTTTTTTACAATAGTATGCATGTCCTTATCATGCGAACGAGAGCGTATGTATGTCTATATCTATGTGTTGCTCTATGATAGAAGCATGGAATCAAGCCCAATATCCATGCATTTCCGACCATCACACCAACCATTAACACCAAACGTGTTGAGGTGGGGAATTTTCTTTCCCGACCAACCACACTGTCACACTTTCAGAGTTCAGTATCCGTCGTATATCCTCTCTATTCAAGAGTCATCACACTAATATTATAAAGGCGAAAGTTTGTGAGTGTGTATGTTTGTTATATTTCTTTACGTCTAAACGGCTGGAGCGATTTTAATAAAATTTGGTATGGAGTTAGCTGACACACTGGATTAACACATAGGCTACATTTTACTGCGGGAAAACAGCCCCTTATAAACCGCGGGGCACAGTTAGTAATTTATAAGTCATAAAACGCTCCAATAGCATTCAATATTCTTTGAATTTTACGAAAAATAAAATTGATTCCATTACTCGTTGATTTATAATGCTCGTTCATTATTGACGCTTGATTTGATGTAGGTTGGGAGCCTACACAATCTTGATTAATCTCCTTCCTTATAACAGTGAAAGGAATCCTTTGTCCATTTGGGAACTACGTTTAATTCGACCTCCATTATGTTGTGGCCATAATTAGGTCAGCAAGTTTCTAATTTCCCCGATAGTAAA